TTTACCTTCTGTAGCAAAGTTGACAGCTCCTCATAGAATTCATCCTTTACATTATCTGAAGTGCAGTCAGTGGGTGGAGATTAAGAATAGATATCGCCTGGTCCCACAATCATTCCTAGTTCCTGCAGATCCAATCAATCGAACAGCACATAGACGGCTGTTGACTGGTATCCAGTAGAGAAGCACACTTTCTACCCTACAACTCAATGCTATGCCTACACCAGCTAGTCATTGGGTCTCGGGATAATCGTAAGGTGAATTTTGAAAATTCACTACTAATGTGAGGTAGGGTTAATTTAATAACCAAACTCGGATCCTGTATACGTGTTTTAGAGTTACAGTATACAACCATGGCTGAAGATTCCAGAGTTCTGGAGAACACTGCTTGCGGTTTGCCTTGGCACAGAGTTTGGACATTGAAATCCCCACATAAAATCAATGGTGGGGTCTTAAAAGACTAGGAACGAGGTTTCCATGACTGGTCATTGGCAGTGGTCGCAGATTCAGATGTTTAGGAAGGTGTAAGAGGCTTTATATTAGTGTCAGGAGGTAAAGGCAAAGGAGGATAGGATATATTCGATTGGGTCTTGTGTACTACTGGAAGCGTGGGGCAGATAACACTTCTCGTTTGTCAATTCTTATCGGATGTCACTTCTCATAATGATATGATACTAATGAGAAAGCCAAGTTCTTTATAATCCTTACCGTAGAGTGTTATATCATAATGCGTGACAGACTGAAGATATCCCAACTATCCATTCCTCAATAAAGTTGTCTTTTATGTCCACAGTAGCTTTACTAACAGATGTATTATGCATACATCGGATTCTATTCATGTTTTGCTTGATATGAACGTACTTCGTGCAGTGGAAGGTATTTTCTGCTTTTCAGTTTATGTGCATTTTTCATTGATTATCAATAGATAACGACGACGATAATGAATGCCACCTTAGGTCTAACCATTTTATCTTTTATGGACTTTGTGAGTGTGGTTTTTTATTACAACCTCATTTAGAGTATGATGTTTTGTCCTGATTTATGGAAATTTTTTATGATTGTACATCTGCGCTATGTACTGAATAAGATACAGCAGAAATAATGTTTGAAAGTAAATATCCAAAGCTTTGTTTCCTTAAAGTTTGTAATTCTAAAAATAAATGGAAGGCTTAATTGAATAGTTTGTAAGGTAATGTGTGATTTTTTGGCAGTTTTCAGAAGGAAATGAATTCGATTCAGAAATCCCTGAAAACTGTGGTTAAGTGTATCAATTCACCCCGAACACAGACTGCCTCATTTATTATTTTAGGCTCACTAGTGACTAAAATCGAGTTAGATTACTTGAATTCCCTACAGGAAACTGTGGTCAATGCAAGTAATGATAAGTAAGATATACTCAACGATGACAGTGGATGATATTCCTGTCGAATACAAAATCAATCGAATTTTGAGAAGATGGATCATTGGATCCAGATTCAGCAACTGTAAAAATAATCTGATAGCCTTGATTACTGAGCTCTCTGGATTCAGTCTTGTATTAAGCGAATAGTAAATTTTACTGAGGGTTGAGAATTATTTTGTGTACCACATAGTTATAGTCTCGTTTATGGCTTCAGCTGTAATTTCCTTACCTCTGAGGTCTATTGCCTTTATGAGTCTGCATGTCAATTGTTGAATATCATTACAAAATCTAGTTGGTTTCATGATAAGCTTGTGCATACCTTGACTTAGATACAGACTGTTGACATGTTTTATAACTTTTATAACCCCACCTGTCACAAATATAGAGAGATAAAGATACTTAGGATGTTTTTGATTTTTGATACAACAGACGTTGGAAATACAGTGACTTTTGAATCAAGTGTCGGCTTGCTTGGGTTTTAAAAAAAGTAGCTTTTAAGCAGGTGCTTCATTAATGCAAGTATAGAAGTTGGTCACTGTGTACCTCGATAAAGAAAGGTAAAAGTTTGTCTATATTTGACTTTCGCATTGATATTTTCCTTCTGAACTCATTAAACTGGTGTAGAATTAAGAGGTTAACAAAACTAAACTAGGACAAATAGGCCAAAATGGATATTATGAATTGAAAGACACGTTTAACTCAGTGAGCAAGTAATTAGGATAAAACGTGATAAAGAATAGGAGAATAAAGGAAATGAGGCGTGGAAAACTTCACAAAAACCATTTTCAGCTTTCATATGAACCAAACAATTGAAATTACTTTTGTATTAAGCAGAACGATTATAATCTGGCAAAAATAAACTGAAGCATTCATCAGCGTGTATCATAATTGACATAATAATAATAATCATGATAACAATAATTCACACTTTGTATGAACTGAATTAGATTTACTTATTTGACACAACATACAGTAATACAGTATTATTTGCTTACCAAGGTTAACATCATGACAGCTCAAGGATGGCCCAGTTTAGAGTATACCAACAAGACGCACACAACTACTCAGGCATGAAAACCTCTCGACTATTGTCAATAGTCCACCACCACAGGCAAAAACAGGCTCCTCTCAATCATGCACTTTGATGGTGCAAAGTGTATACCATGCTTGTGGACACTGATTAAGTAGCCTATATGTTGTCACACCATAAAACAGTATCGTCTAAATACTCGAGGTCTATAAGTTCTTCAAGTGGCAATATGTCTACAAACACACACTACGTTCAGAGCTGTCTCTAGCATGTTATCGATAACTCAGTTAAGGAGGAATGGCGAAATTAGGCATCCCTGTCTATTTCCACTGATGACTTGGAAGAGAGGATATAGGTGCTGAAGTGTCTCGCTTTCAAGATGTTAACAAAATTCTCACGGAAACTCCTGATAGGCAATTTCAAAGTACAGCTCTTTGTAATGAATGAAAGGTAGTCCTGATATCCAGGGATACGAAAATCATTGACCTGGGATACGTGTGTGTTCAAGCATCTGGATGGAGGAGAGTGAACCCCTGATCAGTGCATTCACAACTTCGAAAGAAATACGACCTACTCCTCATGGATCAGCTTATTGGGCGTTTTGCACAGCCTGAGAAGCGTGATAGTAGACAATATTTTAGACCCTACTAGTAGCAGACTGATTTCCTGGTGATTATCACACATAATATCCAATCACTATCACAATGGCTTTATCATGGTCTACCATACCTTTCCACACAGTTATGTTTGTTTCATGAATATAATCTCACCTCCATGTCCATCTGATTGGTGATCTAGTGGCTTCCTTTTCTGAGTAGCAGCTGTATATAAAAACTATGTTCTTTGTCAAATATAGTCTTCCTTAAGTCAGTCACAGGTCCGTCTTTTGTCTTCTGGTTTTCGCGACTCAGTGGAGTATAGGGTGTGGGGGACAATAATCGCATTACTCGCATCCACTCCAAGTATCTCGTTGCGTTATTACTCGTTTCACTTATTATTAGAACCCATATCATACTCCAACTTAGTCACATCAGTAAGTTATTTGGAGTCCCTTTCGGATCTTCACTTAGTTAGGTGGATTGGTAATGGGAATATTTTGCTATTGAAATGCAGAATATCTAGTTAAAGAAACCTTTCTGAACTCAAAATGTAAGTCATTTATTGATTTTAACCGTATATAGATCTTTCAGTGCACATCAATTTATGGTAAGCAATAAGTATGAGACTTAGTTTTAGTACTTTCTATTAACTTTCTCAAGCTGTTGAACAATATTATATGACACATTTATAACACTAAGTTACCTAGCTTGCCGACTATTTAACACGATTAGACTGACGAGTTTATTAAAAGTTAGTTTTCTGTGACTGACTGATGAACAGCCCACTGGTTAAGCAGTATTTCAGTTTAGTGTTCATGACTTTAGAAATCAAATGTGAATGAAATTCATAACCTACTTGATAGAAAACAGCAATTAAACAAGTAACACGAATATTAATAATGGATAGTGGTCAGCAGTAGTATCCAGCAAACGCGTTTCGTTCCACATGGGACTCATCAGCTGAATGTACCTGCATCCCAGTGAGTGATACTGTCCCCACTAAGACTCGAGTCCAGAACCACTGGCTTCGAACGCCAGAGCCACTTCTTGTGTGACGGGTATGGCTTTCATTTTGTCGCTCGTAATATCCCATCGGTAACTGGACTGAATTTACCGGTCTCTATCGGCATATGGGCTTCTGCACGAATGACGTAAATGTTAAGGTATCACAGAGTGATCTGCATTATATTATTTCACTGGTTCGTAAAACATCACAATAAGCCATTTAACTGCAATGAAACTATTTCGTTTGGTAAGATGAGAACAGATAAATGTATTCGACAACTGAATATTCTATATTTTCATTCAGTATAACTGAGTAGTTTCTTTCCTGTTAAATAAGCATAGAAGAAGAGTTCACACTGGAATTCATCTTTTTATCTGTGTCCTAACCAATAACATTTTAAGCGAGAGAAACAGTTTTTCGGTATCTGATAAGGTATCGGAAACCTGCTAGCAGATGAACACAAAATGATGATTCATTATTGATATAGACCAAAAGTGTACCTTTTTATGCTTCACTCTGACGTCTTTACAGGTCTATTAGGTATTGAGTATAAGTACGAAATGAATAGGTACAAATAACTAGAAACGCGTTAATGCTTTATCCAGATCATAACAGGGCATCCGTAGAGGCATAAAGTCTATAGGACATAATGCAAAATGAACAGCTGCAGTATTTGCTTGGTGGTATTGTGGACAGAATGATATGCTGTCTTTAGGACATCTAGTTACATTCAGAACCTCACGGCTAAGATTCAGTTGATAGAATAAGAACTCATCAGTGAGACGAGATGTTATCATGCCTGAGGTTGCTCTGTTAAACCTATTGTTTAGATTAAGACGGTACGGAGACTAGAGGGTTATTAATAGGATACTACAACATGAAAACAAATGTAATAAACGTAAAAATGTGGTGACACTATTAATTGACACAGATGACTTGAACTATTTGTTCTTCTAGAAGGCGCATTTTCAGTAACCAAAATGTGTATTTACCCAAAAAAGCAGAAGAAGAAAAACACATATATAGGTAACGAAGGCAAGCCTTGAGCAGGAAATGAAACACTCTGCTGTTACATGAATTACCGCCTCCATCTTTGGGTAAGCAGAGAAGAGTCAGAATAAGCTGAGGAGAGCAGGAAAACCATAAGAAATGAAAAGTGTCCATACCAACCGAAAAAAGATTGATGAATAAGATGAGAAGAAATATTTTTTGGCCCCAATAATAAATAACTTATTCTACCATTAATATTACTGAATGTGTTACTGTTAAATTATAGGTAGAACGAGTAGTTTCTTATAAAAAGTGATTCAATTCAGGCACAAGAAATAGGTGTGAATCTCTTCATGTTTCACAGTCGAAAATTCCCGCATCTCTCGTTCAATATGGGTCATGTTTAGGATGATCTTTCTAACTGAGAAGCCAGTTCTTCAGTCTTCTGTCTACATTCACTGAAATAATTTCTTTGAGCAGCTATAAGTTCTTTTAAGGCGATCATATTAGTTTGCTGTAAGAAGAGGAAGGCAATTAAACAAGAAATATTAGGGAATGCAGCTAACACTTCAGTTTACTTGCACGACATTTCAGTGTTTCGCTTATGATTAATGATAACCTACTACCTTTAGACACACATGCCTATAGTGCTTCAACAATTGTGGTCACAGGACTAATTTGATAAGCAGTAGGTTATACGTCATAATTGCTTTGTATGTTTTTACTTACTTGATCACCACAGTGTGGTAGTACCGTTAGGCTCACAAGATGATGAATGTGGTCTTAAGTCCAGTGCATTGTCTTATAAGTGGTTAATAACAATTAGATGAATATATCTTACCTCTACGTCGGTCGGTCACTGAGGAGCAACCAATTTCATGTTGTCTAGTCCTGAGTGTTGATCGAATTCAATCGACCACTTTGGATTGGTGACTTTAAAGGGCACCTTAGCAACTGCTGAGATAACCAATCATGTTCCTTCACTTTGAAAATAACTACCATCCCAGACGAGATATTTAAAGCTGACTGGCTATTTAGCAGTTGCTCTTTGGAGTGTGGCTCCCAAGCTGGGAGTCCTAGAATTGCGGTGCACTTTGGTGGATGTTAGTTGGTCGGAGGTAATCAGGGGAAAGCCATACTTGGCTTTGTTTATTAGGCGTACCTGCAACCTCGATGGGAATGAGTTCCCACCCGTGATTCAAACCCACATCAATCACATTTGCAGTCAGCTGCATTACCACTAAGCTACTCAAGTCACGATTGAACTCCTGTATAACTGCATAGCATGGATCACGATAGTGAGCCTCTTAGCTTAGTGAACACATTACAAAATGGTCGACTGAATTTGGCTAATACGCAGGACTAGACAACATGAAATTGATTACATTCCAGTGACTAATCACTGTATCTAATCCAGTCCTAAAGAGCGTAATATATGTCCCAAGTAGTTCACTGGTACGCTTGTTGATCACAACGCTGGATGATCGGGATTCGATTCTCAGGCGGGACGTCAGTTCGGTTGGGGTTGCAGGTGTCTTACTGACAAGTGCCACCAAGCACGATACCTAGGTCCAGTAGGGCTTTCTGCATACTGCATCCAACCAACCGATTTGTCCTACACTTCTTCAACTAAAGGACAGTGATGAGACCAGACGAATTCACTGACATGTCGCTAATTGTCGACGGTTGTTTTGAATTTAATGGTGTAGATAAGACTAAAAGCCTTTATTTGTGAACAGTAAACGATTTGTGTGATGAATTATTCCCAGTAACTGTTACGCAGTTATGGGTAAAGAGTTTCTACTTTTAATTACTCGATGTTGATATCTATTTTGGGTTTTGCTGCTCCAAAGAAATCTTTTGATATAATTACTCTATCGATGAATGTCGTTACAAGAGTCGTATTATTGAGATACGATCACCTTTTTCACGATACTTTAGTTGAACATTCTTTCTGCCTAAATTTCAAGTGCAGTGAAAACAGGTGGCAATAACTACCATATGAAGATATAGGCACGAATCGAAAATGAAGTACAACACGGTAATCATGCACACATTAGTGCAGTAGGCCATGAACTTCACATAATGTATGAAGGGTAGTGAAACTATCTGCCTGCTCAAACCTAGGAAGGTGGAGTGAGACATGAACCCGTGACCCACTGGTTGGAATTCGAATGCAAGGCTAACAAGTCACATAGGAATTATTGATTGTTGAGTAATAGTGACACTGAAGTACTTAGTGTATTGACACACATGAAATCAGATATCACTGGGATGTAAACAAACTGTACAGATCAATAGTGAGATCACATGAAAATGAGAAGGTTCACACTTAGGTACAATGTGTAATGAACCATTATTCTAAGAAATTAAGAAAATTTATTATGTATTTCGTGCCTAGTCATGAGAGAACAACGTCAGACTTGTAAAAATTTCATTTAATATCATCACTGGTTTCACACAATAAGATAGAAAAAGTTCTACCAGGGCGGTTTCCACGACAACTCACTAAATAGGCGATGTCATTAAAAGGTCTCATGTGTTCATACCACTTATTAGCTGTGAGAAGTTTCACTCAATTTCGAGGTTTGTGATGATTTGTTGACTTCAGGTTGGTGTTCATCATGAACTGATATCAGCTGAAGAACCATCGGAAACTTGAGAGTACTTAACAGCCGTTTCATGCCAGTATGGAACGTTTCAGAACTGTTCACCTATGATCCTGACAGTCAAAATCAGGACCTTCAAGTCCCTTGACCAGCACGTTACCATTGAGCCACTGGGGCGGAATGCAACGGGGCATATTTCCTACTTCTGTCAGTTCACAATATAGCGTAACCTCCATCCAGTGCCATCACTGAGTAACTATCGTTGTGGTCGACTTGATTGGAACCACTGGTCACGACTTCTCACTGGAACTTTGGCAATCACCTCTCAAAGCTAGTCACCAATGAGGGGTTACTCAATACCGCACTGGATGGAGGTTGCGCTATATCGTGAAATGAAAAAAGTAGGAAATATACACCAGAGGATTCCGACCCAGTTGCTCACTGGCAACATGCTGGGCTCTGGACCTGAAGGGCCTGTGTCCTACCACTGGCGGGTTATGGGTGCGCACTGCAGAGTCCCATACTAGGACAAACGGCTGTCCAGTGTTCCCAGGTTTCTGATGGTTCTCCAACTGATGTAAGCCCATGAAGAATACCAACCTGAAGTCAATTAAAGAAGTTCGTAATTACCTGGACGTACAAGTGAACTGGATAAAATACAGTAGAAAACATAATCTATCTGTTCATAGGTCGAGATTAGAATAAAATATGCAAGTCTTAACACGTGTGCAAAGTGCCTTCTGTAAAAATAGACTTGATGCATTAAAACTACTATGATAAATACAGACTGTATAAAGCATGATTTACACCTCCACGGTAAGAGTTTATAAAGTAACTCCCATATTTTTGTAAAGGTTTCTCTTTGCGAAATTTGTCTGTTGCTAAAATATACAAGTAGATTGCATCGAATTTCTACACTGTTTAGTTCTTGCACCGAGCGATACTGGAAACTGATGCAATCAAGGCTATACAGGGTACTGGTAATAACTTGTCGGAAATAAAGACATAGAGGTGGATATGACGAATTAATCTGTATGAGAGTAAAATTAGCCCAGTTAGTGGTGTTAACTTGCTGATTCGTGTAATGTTGACTGAGTTTGAAAAGGCATTAAAGACTGATGAATAACTCTTGAGTGTTCATATTACCTTTTCCAGATAATACTGAGTATTTTATGAAGTGCTATGCAATAAAAAGGTTGCGCATCATACAACCATCACTTTGCCTTTTTTCTGAGGATTTCTGCAGCGATAGCGTCAACTTTAAAAGATGAATAAACGTATGATACGCACATAATGAACGCCATAAATAAAATGTGCACGTGCATAACCGTAAATGATTCACATGAAGATGAAACCGAATACCAATTCTATAGTAGTAAATAGTTTATCGTTTGACCAACTTACATTCACTGACTTCGTCTTTTCCAGTTTGCTTCTAGTCACCTCCAGTTGTTTATCAAGAACACATTTGGCTTTCTCCATGTTTCCAAGAGTCTATTTTGGCAAAACATAACACAAAAATAGATTGTTGCAAGAAGGCAGTTGTATACAACACAATTGAACAAAATGTTTTCGTCAAAACACTGCATGAACTACCTATATTTTTTTCGAATTGTAGACATTTATGAATCTATATTCATGGTTTAGAAAGGCATTTTGGACGTGGAAACTGTTTCTAGTAAGTGTACCAGAACATTAACAGTGAAGTCAATCGATTTATCCAAATTTTGTGACTCATCATTACCTGAATCCCAACCTATTGAAAATGTAAGTCAAGTCTTATGCTGGTCGAGTTAAGCTTAGGTCAGTATGTTTCAGTCAAGAGGTTCTACATATGCAATTCAATAAATTCATGCCCTATAGCATCAGCATGAGATTTATCCCAATAAAAAGACTGTCTTCTATAGCAGGCCAATGTCTTACATTACATCCGAAATCTAAAGATTTAAACCATAAGATAATGTTACCCTTTTATTGTATCTGAGTTTATCATATCAATCAGTCCAGACCTAGCCAGGAAAACTATCAATATTGTTCCAACAAAAAAGAGAATCTAAAAGCCGTTTCAAAAAACTGTATAGGATTAATCAGTGTTAAGACCTAAATATTTAAGCAAAATAAAAGAAATTTGCTAAGCAAGTTAAAGAAATTTCAACTGCTCCACTAATCCCAGAATTGATCCTTGAATGAATGACACAGAGGTTAGAGTATACAGTAGTTATAGTCATCAAATCTGAAGCTTGAATTTCCTATATGAATGACTTTTGTAATTCTGAAAAGAAGTGAATGAAGAGACACGTGCAGTCTTATCAATTGGAAATGTGAAGAGGTTTAACTTTCAGAAGAAAATATCCTTATCCTTAGAACAAAAGATTGGACCTTACAAAGTAAAGTGTATGGGATTTGACACACGCAAAATGTTTTGAACCACGATGGTAACAGTGTTGAATGGTGACGAATTAGGACAAAAATAGCTGTCCAGTGCTCACTGCTTCTCATATGAACAATTATAATAGGCGCGTGTCACGAAAACGCACTGCACGATTCAAATGAATTATATCTTCTCATTTTGTCAAAGTTCAGTATTCGATTTGGAAAAAACTAACAGATTTGTGTACCGCTCTGATTGAAAACCTAAATTACGTATTAGTTTACCTTTGCGAGTCATTATAATCGTTGGAACACAAGACTGGTACCAAATGGGCGCCAAGAGATGAGTTATTTGGTGATTTGTAAATGTTTACAGGCATAGAATTGCTGACGGTGCTGTTACCGATATACGTTCTAATAATTGTATTTCAAGTCAGTAGAAATAATTTTATGATGGTGCGTAAAAACTTGACGGTATATTGGTCAGTTAACCATTAAGAGCGGTAACTACTCCTTCATTGAATATACTGCTTAAAAATACGAGGTGGAGACCTACTTTCATATGATCCTCGAATATAGGTGATGGTGAAAATTTGTAGCTCAGGAAGAGAATGACGGTGGTTGGGTGTTCTTTGAGCTGTGATATTTCGTCGTGAACGTTTCATCACTAGGTTTAGGGATATCTTCAGAACTAACTTCATAAAGAAATGAACCATATTCGAATATTACACGAATGTTTGGACCCTGGATGTCGTCCAGTTGTATTCGGCGAACAGTTAGGCACAAGTTTTAGCAGAAATGTCGGTTAGAAGTAGCAAAAAAATCGTACACTTTTCTGGTTATAGGTCATTAAATTATTGTCCAGTCTCATTCAACCCTTCGTATTTTACCCGAAAATATTTTTATAATTTAGTTTTAACTACTCACAAATACTAAGTAATATGAAGTGATTATATATTTTGAAACGTCTTGTGCTGTATAGACAATAGGATGTATTGAAAATGGTCATACAACCAAAACAATTCAAGGCAAATTCATAGGAAAAAGACTGCGCAGTAAGATGCATAAAAGCTTTCCTGAACACTGCAAAAAACCGAGTAGAAGGAAAAGGGAGAAAAATGAACAGTTCTGTTTCGCAACAATGTATGTGGTAAGTAAAATGCGCATATGTTTATTGACTTCAATCGGATGTTTTCTATCAGAACAATTGAAATAAATTGCCAAGTATGAATGAGATCGCCATGTTCTGTACAGAGGGGGGGGGGTTAAGGGTGAAGTTGAATATCGCTGATATGTACAGTAGGTAAGCAATCAGTCTTCCTTCCTGGGGTTGAGTTTCAACTAAGTATATATTTAACATGTTCAGTGTTTTATCAGCCCGAGGCTAATGTACATTACATGTTTTGAGATAAACACAGTGTCATTCCAAATCCGTTTATTATTTTACAGTAGATTTCATCAACAAGGTAAAACGTGTGAAACTGGTAAGGACTAACTGACAGACGAAATTGACAAACTGATAGACGTTACAGAAGTAGGTGAATTCTTTTTTCCGACTAACCTTTTTGATGGTAGCGCTACCTTCTTTATATATACACTTGAACAGTGACTTTTATAACTGGTACTTTTCTTCCAAATAGTGTAGTAAATCTAGTTTGAAACTGTAACGCAGTCGGGTCAATATTGTTCGTTGTCTGGATCGTATTAGGAATGACTTAGACATTTCACGGGATTTCAGTCTAGTCAATAACTGTGATTGTAGTTTAATTTATTTTTACAGGCGCGAATGTAGAATGGTTTGAAATTGACTTTAAAACAAGATAGTCATGTGTCGAAAGGGAAAGTTTTCATATTTGACAACACCCTACAAAGAGGAAATGAATAGAAAAAGGATGATGTTTAAGGAAATAAAAGGTTTATAAGGGGAAAGAGAATAATTAGGTGAACGTTAGCAAAGTGTTAGAAATTTTGAAGGTGAAAGGTGGTGAATACATCTGCATCACTATGGTAGATTTCAGGCCATGGGAATGACATTCTGTAGTTATTGATTCATAATATTAAAGACTCCATACAGGTATTCTTCGATTCTGTAGATGGTTCAGATCAACAATTAGAGATCTCATGAATCGATAACACATCTTCACGTGGTTACGCTCAATCTTCTTTCAAATCAGTCCTACTGTGAACAAACGATGAGTACTACATTTCCAGGCAAGCTCAGTCAATGAAGGTTTACAACTACAACAAACGAACTACCTTCCTCATATAGTATTCTGCATATGTGAACAATACTGATTTTTTGAAACTTAATGGAAGCGAAATAAATCCGCTTTTATAGACGAAGTTGTAATTCATAGTTATTAAGAGCGAAATAGTAATTGCTGACAACTTCACTTGAGAAATAATTTGAACTTCTGTCTCATAACTGGTGGACTTTCACACGTGACAGTATAAATATTTGCGTGGGTCCTACAACATTAACGACTCTTGTACGAATATATAAATGATGCGCAGATTACACATCTAAGTACTATTGAGTCAACTTTACGAAACCAAAATCATGAAAAGTCTTAGAGATCACACTCTCACGAATTCCCCTTTCGTTGCTCAAAGTTGAAACTTTCTTCGCTAATTTGGCTATACAACATTTGAATAATGTATGAGGCATAGCAAGATAGTAAACTAAAGCTTGACAGCAGATGTCAGTGAAACATCTTGTTTGCTTCATGACAGTTGATGTTCTCAGTTATTTTTTCGAAATATTATTTCTCAACCTTGCTGTTAATTTCATAGGCAGTAGAAGTGGAAAAAACCGTTGAAAGTACTTTCGTCTTGGAGTTTAATAGAAAGAATCTTACCTTTTTTTGTCAGATCACAGTTCACAACAATCCACAGTGAATAGACACAACTCATGCAAATAATCTCTAGTAAGCTGAACACTAATTAAGGTGCACTCGCTTTAATGTATTCTCACCACAGTGGATCAGAAACAACCTGATCTTTGCTAATCTTGACCTCAAATTCTAGAAGCTGACAGACGAAACCTTCAATTTAGGACAACCTTCCTTTCAGGTACGGTTCATAACCTTTGAATTGGTTAGTATTAGGAGTCATGATGTGTACGCTTTATTGTCTGTTACGCTGAAAAACAATAATTGAAGCCTAAGTGCCACCCACATAAAATTGCTTTCCCTATGCACAACCAAGTTTTTTTTACGCTTATGCGAAGTTGCACTCGCGCCGATACTTAATACGGTAAGGGAAAGTTTGTTAACTATAACTCCAGTTCAGCGAACAGCTGGTTAATTTTGAACATATACACCATGAACTACAAGTACCACACATTTTCCGTCACGTAAAGTCGATTATTTTCAATCCCTACCTAAGTTAGAAATTTTACATTGTTTTAGGACAGAGCACTGTAATCTAAATCCATGAAAAATAGTGTAAACTTCTTCACCTACACATGGTATGTTGATATCGATCTGCTCATTTTACTTACATGTTTGATCACATATGAATATATAAAATAGGTTAGTGCACTATGAAATAAGAAGGAATGTTATTAGCGATGGTGTTATGTATACTCAATGATATTTTCTAGAGTTTTAGATTGATCAGTAAATGTGGTTTTTTTCGTTTCACAAAAGTCATACATATATGATTGATATGAACTTAAAAATTCAAAAGTTAGGTGTAATCTACCATTTCATTGATAAAATATAACTTATGCAAGTGACTTATAACTACTCACATTTTGAGTAGCATGTTGACCAACTACATATTTGAAATTCAGTAAAGGAAATAGCTCCGGTTACTAAAATTAGTGTGCGTATGTGTTATGAACTAAACTACACCGACGCAACTGTCAAGATGATGATAAAACCCGTTTCATCTTTAAACTACCTATCGGGTTCGAACTCTATAGCGACCGAAGTAATCGATTCAACTTCAGTCATCCCCTTATTACGTAGACACTAATCTGTCAAACCACAACTATCTGGAGTGAAGACATGACAAGGATGAGAATGTTAATAGATTTATTGACTGCAAAACTGATTACTAATCTAGACAATATTTGGATTATTTCCCATTAACACTTTTTCCAAAACATCCAACGGTTAGTAAACTGGTTTGGCCATACTTTCAGTTTGAAAAAATCTAAATAAATTTTCAGTGTACTTCACACAAGACTAATTATTGGATCACAGGTGTATTACTTCCAGCGGTATATCGTAATTGCGCTCACGTGTTTCGCTGTAGATCGTATTTAGCTGGGATAAATAACTTTCATTTCATGGTTATGCCAAATAAACACAAAAAAATGACCTGAAATTACAACACTTTCTCATCCTCCCTCACCCACCCCACAATAAACAAAATATCGACATTTAAAAACCTGATATTCATCTAATACCGAGATCAACTTTCAACGATGGAAATTAAAATTTTTGACCCATTCAGTATAAAACAAATAAAAATGTGGGGTGTTTTCAAAAAGATGCTTACTTCAGCATCGGGATTATCACAGTGTTTCACCTTACTTCTCAATTTATCATAGTCAAGGCGATACGATTCCAGATGGCTGCGTTCCTTCTGAAAAGTCGACAAAAAATATTCGAAATAATAAACTGGTTTTCTTCGAGTTGCGGATCTACAGACAGACAAACAGACATAATCAACGTAAAACCTCGCACATAAGTGCATCGGCTCAAGTTGCTACAATTCACAGTATTATACAAAAAACAGGTGGATTAAAAAGTGTTATCAAAGGAGACAAAGTTGTGAGAGAGAATAAACAATTTGAAGAAAAAGGTTAGTGAGAATATTCAAACTTCAGATGTCAAGGAGTGAATACATCTGCGATGTGACTGGTTTTCAGCCATGTCACCAGGATTACTTAACCACTCATTCCTGTCGTCTCGAAGACCTCAACCAAGCAGCTTGTATCTCTCTACACGATTCAGGTCAAGGGTCAGGGACTCCATCGACTGATGCCACGTCTTGATCTGGTCACTCTAAACCCTCTTAGACCTAATCCAACTTCCCTAGCACAGCACATCGAGGTAGGCGGTGGATCGGATGCAAAATACATGTCCAAGACATCTCAGCTGATGAAGGTTTACAACCTCACCAAGCGACTTGCCTGTTTTGCCTAATACCCTCCTTCTGAACTCATTATTACTCATATATTGATTCCATCAAACGCAAGCAATGCTACGAAGGCACCAATGATAAAAACCTTGTTTTGAATTCCAGAGATACTTGAATATGAGCTTTGAATGCCATAAAACATATTCTGCTAATTGGAGTATCCAAAGTTGCTTCACTAACCATTATTGACAAGTTACTTTTCGCCCTTAAACTACCACAAAGGTAAGTCCGATCAACGGGGATAAAAAAGTGTATATTTATATCTAAAATACAGTAACACTATAAGATTTCTACCTTTTTCAAAACTAGACTGGAAAAATGACTTTATGAATCCTTATCTTAGTATATTACATATATCTTAGTTACTCTGTTTTTACCTCCTGAAGGCTAATCCATGCATTGTAGTCAGACTTCAATATGACTTGATTTTACCTCCGAGAAAAAAGTGCTTTATGTGGTTTTGTGCGTAAAACGCTAGCTTCGCTCATCATACGCTACGTCAAAGTAAACTCTTCATATGGATATCTCATTATTTATTTAAAGGTTATACAAAAGCATGATACAGTCGACCTGAAAAAGCTATCAGCATCGCTATTGTTTCATCTGATGTAGTCAAGACGAAGAATTTTCCCCGTATGTGTAGCTAAATCTAGTCATTATAAAATTGGAACTGTTTACATTCATAAATTTCAAACCGCTTCTTCTCGTTCAAAAAGTTTAGTTTCCCGTATGTGTATTTGGTTTGGTTCATATTCATCATGAATTGACATAGTTTTGAGAACTACCGGAAACCTGGGAGCACTGGGTAGCCGTTTCGTCCCACTATGGGACTCTTCAGCAGTGCGCACCCATGACCCCTCCAGGGATCGAACCCAGGACATTCACGTTCAACGGCCATCACGTTGCCATTGGGCGACTGGTTCGGTGTGTATTACCTACTTTTGTCAGCTCACGATATAGCGCGGTTTTCATCCAATGTCACCATTGAGTAACTAAAATCAATAAACTAATCCCCACAAAAACTCTAAATTGAATTACTGTAGTGCTCATACTAGTGACTCGCTTCAAGATATGATTCCGAAAGTTCTAATGAGGACTGATGACCGGTGGGGCCAACCAAGTCGGGTGCAAGGACAGTTACTCAAAGAAGGCATTGGATGGGGATCGAAATGACAAAAGTAGGGAATATGAACCAGTGGTAAGGTGCTGGCCACCAAACCCGAACGTCCTGGGCTTGATCCCTGAAGAGGGGGTCATGGGTACGCACTACCGAGAAGTCCCATATCAGGCCCCAGGTTTCCAAACGGTCCTCTAACTAATGTTAGTTCATGATGAATACCAACCTGAAGTCAGTAGATAGATTTGAAATAAGTAAAAATTATTACTTCATACCGAAAGAGATTCAGTTTAGGAATGATTACCAGTCCACTGAAACTTTCAAAATAACTTAATATCGCTTTGTAATAGTAATTAGATAGTATGTTTACTCAATAGTTTCAGTTTCTGGTTGGTGATAAGGCACCCATCGTTTCAAAAGACGGAGCTTTATATTACCAGGTCTCTGAGTTACGACACCCACTTCTTGTCCAATAGGTATGGTTCAAAGTTTCACTGGGAAAGTGTCACCCATTGAGAGGCAGGTACAGTCAGCTGACGAGTCACGACTAGGACAAAACACCATTCTTGGACCCCACTGCTAAACACCAGCAGTCCTTAATATCAAAATAAAGTCACCAGCTGTAACTATGCATCCATAAAGCAACCCATAGCCAAGACAGCCTGATTATTTCAGTTCAAAATAATCAACAACGGAAGATAACAGGTTCCAATATCAATCGATAAACTTATTGCTAGAAATTAATACATTTGAAGCAAACTCTTACCAGAGCTGGTTATCAAGTTTCCATAATTAATGATATACTTCAAAGACAAATAGGTTACGATTGAATATAGTAGGTAGTGAGAAAATCAGGTCTTTATATTCTCAAGTTGTACATGAACTACATGTACGCGACAGTTGTGGTAATCAATCATGATAGACGACTAAACTCTAAAAAATTTTACATCGTTCATACAGTATTTTATGGGAAAGAAAAAGTTATGGTTCAGTATCGTTTTGTGCGCTATACATGAGAGCAGAGGATGCAGACAGTATGTAGGATATTGACCAGTGAAAAAGATCCTATTCTACACAAATTAAATTTTTAATGTTGTGACAATAATACTGAACCTTTTACTTTAATCTTAATACGTCAACGGATTATAATCAATAAACAATCAATAAAATTAGTCTTTACATACGCGTTTACTGATATATTGGAAAATTGACTAATTGAAAACTATGAATATACAAAATTAATTTATATATCTATTTGTGTAGAAGGTAAAAGTGATCTCACTTGAGGACAAATGTTTTAATATTGTTAACCTACAGATCTCCGTTCAAATCGATTAATTGGATGTTAAACTTTACACTGACCAACTGAAAAAAACGTAGATAATGGTTATAATAATATACCACTTAGAGTCACGACAACTACTGACAGCAGATCGAAGGAAAGTTAGCAGGAGAAAATAAAGCGGTTAGTAATCGCAGTAACGACAACAATATCCTTGTTTGTTCCCACAAGAGTTTTAAAAGTTGAGGAACAAGTGAACGAGAAATAATGAAATTTCTACTGCTGCTCAGTCAGTATATATTTTTAAGCAGAATACTTGCTAAAATCACACAACTCAGCGACCTTGTACAACTTGTGCACTAGGCTATAAGTTACGCAATGTGTGACGACTTACTATACGACTCACTTACCCGGATCGAAGTGGTGAGCAGGTTGAAAGTTTATTGTCTGAATCGATAAGCCATACTTCCACTTATGAGACCTCCTGCTACTTGTCTTAGCTCAGACAACAAGCCTACATTTCACAACCGATTTTCTTTGATTCTGCTCCTAGTCATGAGGTTATCAATTCCGGGTTGTTGTGTAGTGAGAACTCGTTCAGCAGAGGCATCCCTCATTCACACCAGTTTGTTTGCTTATCTAATCTTTTTCTCGATGTCAATGCTTTGGGGTTGTAACTACCTAACGCAATATACTAATGGGCGACACGAGCAGTAAGAAATCACTAAGTCTGATTTACCAATATCCCTGGTAAGATGACAGTGATCGAAACATTGAATGGCCAATTGGATAGTTCAAAATTGAGCTAATTAGCAGTTTACTCGGACAAATTCAGCTCACAAATCTAGAGACATCTGCAAACCGGTGTGAGTGGTTTCTAACTACTCATGTGGTTCAGTCATATACTGCGTTAGAGCATGACAACTTTTGTGTTGAAAATCACAATTCATGACCCAGTTGGTAATAGCTCAAATTAGTAAGAATTTAAATACACTGACTGGTTACTGGAGGGTACCCAACTTCATGTTGTCTAGTCCTAAGTCCTGATCGGGTTCTACTGATCATTTTGCACTGTGACCACCAGGTTAAGGGATTCAACCACTACGAATCTGATGTCTCACCTGGGATTCAAAACCGCGTCATCCAGTACCGCAGTTAGAGGCGTTACTACTAAGTTCACATCCGTAGAGGTTACAGATACGCTTTGATGATGAGTGCCAAAAGCACAAAACTTAGGTCCAGGACTTCCCACCGATTGCCTCTATCCAACTAACATATATAGGTATTTCAAAATGCACATACATATGTCTGTTTAGTACTGACGGGGGAGATAATTAATGTCCTACTCTGATATTGTAGGGTTGGTTTTCCATCTTGTCTTGATCACTTGAGGCTTCATTCGTCATTACATATCAGTAATGAGTAATTATTTAACAAACTACATAAATATTCGTTCGTTCAAAATAAAACCTATAGTCCTGTGTAAAACTTTTAAAATATTGGTCGCTACTATGGCTTACTTGGATATCAGGCCAGTCGACAGATAGAAAATGATGAAGTACCGCCAATGTTTTCTTTTCCAGCATTGAATTTCTTTGACTCTCAGCTACCGCTATCTCATGACCATATTCACCACACTTCCTCAGTGCCTGTCCTGAAAAGTGAAATGGATTTTGAAGTATATCGATTAGCTAACTGTTTTTAAACATAAGTAAAACTAATAAACAGAATGTTAACACTAGAGATTGATTGATATGCTCATAAGTATTCGTAGCTCAGGTTGCATATTCTCCAGCTTGTTTAATAGTTAACCGAGCTTGGACACAGTGTTCTAAGTTGATGTCTATACCGACACCGGATGTTTTATCCAGGAAACAGCATAAAAGTCACAAAATATTTAGCTCAAGTGTAAAAGGATAAAAAGATTTCGTCCGCTGTTTTATGATAGTATTTCCGATGGAACAGAAGCTGGCAAGGTCTCTGTTATGCATTTATCAGTCTATACGGAAATAATAATAAAAAATCAGTGTCCGCCGATTCCATTTTATGCAGCTGATTATTCCCCACCAGCTGCTTTGAGATGGGCACAGGGATGATCAGACGCCAGCACACTGTTGATCATAATACGGAGATAGTCACTTGTGAAGGCTGACACCCGCTTGGCATTTGTTATTCGATAAAGGATTCTCGGTACACTGGCACCAAGAAGTGGGTGAGACTAAAATCCAATTAGCTATAGCTAGGGGGAGGGTGAGACTGATCGCAGAATCTGTGTTCATTGAGTCAACACTTAACACATGTAATAGGAATGATCATATTGCAGATAATTGGGAGATTTTACTACCACTAGAATAAAAGAATGTAGAACTCAATTTAGAGGTTTGTGGAGATTTATTCATTGCTTTTAGGTTGACATTGATCATGGACTAACATCAGTTGCAGACCATTGGAAGCCCGGGAGAACTGGACAGCTGTTTCCTCCAAGGACGGGATTCTTCAGCAGTGCACATTCATGACACGTACAGTGATCAAGCTCGGGATCTTCACATTCAACGGCTAACACATTAACATTGAGCCACTGGGTCAGAATCTAGTAGTCAACATTTCCTACATATCTGTCAGGTCAAACAAGTCAGACAAGCGACGGCATTGAATGGAGGTCGCACCATATTGTGAACTGACAGAAGTGGAAAACATGGATCCTTGGGTCCCTGCCCAGTGGCTCACTGGTAACGAGCAGGCCACCAAACCCGAAGGTCCTGGGATCGATTTCTGGCCAGTCACGGGTGAGCACTGGTGAGGAATCCCGTCCTAGGAGGAAACAACTGTCCAATTCTCCCAGGATGCCGGTGGTTCTCCAACTTATTTCATTCCGTGGTGAATGAAGAGCTATTGGAGCATGTCATGGAAGTTTAAAAGTCTTATGATTACTTTAATATGAATATTAGCAACAAATTCTGCTCGAAATGTTATCCAGTAAACAATACTGCATCACTGTGCGCTGTATATCAAATAAACAATCTACTATGGAACTATACTCTACCATAATGGGTTTCAATAAACATACTGTTGTAATAATAAGGATCCAACTAGGTTTCCTACTTCAGATAACTTGGATGGTATTGCATAGCAGTTGATTTTATGGTTGACTATTACTCATGCACAATAATCTCATATGAATATGAATTCGACACTTTAACCTTATTTACTCTCTTGAATGAATAAAGTCAGTTGGTAGATAATAAAACAGATTTTGGAAACAGTTTACCTTCTTTAGAGAGAAAGAGGCAGAAATTTTAGGTCACAGAATTGATTATTGTTGATTGATCAATAATATGAATCAAATTATTTTACAATCACTTACGATAGGGAATACACTACTACTTGTAAAATGCTTACACAGATATCTTCGGTAAGTTTCAAAACAGATGAAGTTATCCACAAAGATATCTTAAGACTTTTAATATTTCAAAATACTTTTAACTTCAACAGTTATCGTTAGTTGATTACAAATCCAGTGAAGCCTTCAAACTGCACATACTTTGTTTCCAATCTTAGTCAATAGGAGAATGTTAGTCAAACTGAGTATGCATGGTAGATTGTCATTCAATTGAGCAACATTCAATTTTTCAACATTGATAAACACTCATGCTGCTGGGAGTCCAAAAGTTATTTCAAATAGATAGTGCACCACACACCTATCTAACTAACAGCGTAGAATAGTTGCACGTTTATTTTATCTTTGTCCAATCACCAATCACGTCGAAGAAACTAGAATTCTACTCAAGGCCAAATAAGACGAAAAACCTATGTCACTGTAATTACTGGGTGACTTTAAAGGATACCTTAGCAACTGCTGCAATAACCAATCGGGTTGCGGTATTTTCGTTTAGAAGGCAGTTTTTCATAAAATAAAGATATAATTGGTTATTCAGTAGTTGCTAGGGTGGTCTTAAGGTCACCCTAAATAATGACGTCATTGATGTAAATTAGTCCAGCAGACGGTTATTTGCTGGGCTACGGGATAGACGGATTGTGTGGAGGCTTGTGATACCACTCCGTATCCAGGCTACGAAGTTGGAACAAAAATTGACACAGGGACCCATTACCTCAATTCAAATGCATAAGCTAATAGGCCGTACCTTTAACTCTTAATTTTTAAACAATATTCAGAAACCTGCCAAGATATTTTGTGTGGAGTATCAGATATTGTTGTATGCCTTGATAAGACTCCCAAAGAGGATCCTGCTTTTGTTTTCTCTCTTTGCTTTGTTCCCTCCCTCTAAGTTGTACAGTACTTCATAATCAGCTTGAAAATTTGAAATCGTTCAGACATATATACTGGTACTTAGAGAATCAAATAACTCAGAGAGCTGTTATGCTCATGATGAAGTGCGGATTTTTATATTAAAAGAGGGAACTTTAAGCAAATTCTTTAACAATGTAGCCTTCACATTTTATAAGTGTTCGAACAGTATTCCTCAAAGGATCAGAAGAGTTTTGCTTTGTTGAGCTGATTTATGTAGTTGACTGGTTTAAGTGACTGTCGTTTCCAAAAGGGTGCTTCAAGTCATCTCATCACAAAATGTTTTAAGGCTTTTGACAACAGTGAGTACGTAAGATCCCCTCCGTAGAAGAGGTAAGAATGTTTACTTTGAAATAAAATATTTGCTACTGTTGATATTTTATCCAAGAATGAAATCACTGCAACAGTTTGACTCGTGAAAGCTAAACACGATGGATGGAAACTGTAAGGGATCCGGGCTAAACTTGGCTGCAATGTATTCAAGCCCTATCTTCCTCCAAATTCTGTCATCTCATGTTTCTCTCCTCCCATATCTTCTCTTATGTAAGTTTTGTAACTGTTTACAATAGCCTATATTGTTTTCATTTCACCGCTTTTCTTCCTGCCAACTTCCAAGTTGATGGGTTTATATAAAGCATGTAAACTGAGACAAATACACAGTCAACACCTACGTCACCGAATTTTTGATGCAGTTCCCCTCCATCGAAAAAGTCTTATTGACAAAGAATACTTTACTATGCTTATTTTTTCATCTTATGCTTAATATAGATAAAATTATCGTTCCTGTTGTTTTCAGGTTAGTGAAAATCAGTGGATGATAGAGATCCTTGTTCCATGGAAGATCCGATTCTTCATTCAGAGGCGATACTGTCAGATGACGTGCCACTGCAGAGTAGTAAGTACACTTTACATCAGACCTGGACTTATGAAAGGTAGGGTTGTCTTAATGTTCAGTTTGTCACTTTAATTATTGAGGAAGAAATAAGCAAACGGGAAGATAAATACGCGTCATTAATGACGAAAGTTGGTTTAACTGCAGTGTGAAACGGCCGTATTTTAAAGATGTTAGCTATCAAAGCACAACCTCTCGCTATGACAAAATACGCCACTTGAATGATGCAATTTCTTAGTCCATAAGTGAATAAGACACTGGAAACAGCACCGATGTGTAACAGACTAGATAACAACAGCTGTTACATATTTTCTGGCTCCTACAACTTCTTGTTAGTGGGGATTCATAATGTCGACTGACTCCTCAGTTTGCTTTCTTGTAGTGATACAACGATACGCCAGTTTTGGAATGAACCTACCTTGCTCCCAAGTCTATTCAGTCACCACCTAGTGTAATTAAATTACTACACCATTTACTCAGTATTTAGGCGATAATGCTGTCGTTTGAAGCAATGTGCCAGATTCGACAATGGAATACAGTTACATCTAGCTTATGAGTCCCAAATACGACGAAACGCGTCCTGGATTATTCATTAACCGTCGGTAGGCAAATAACGCTGAGATTAAACTTAAGTTAACAACTATGTATTCGTTGACAGAGATAAAATACCAACAGATACCGACCAATCCGATTCAGTATGAGAATAAGCGGGGAATTAGAAGCATCAGGAAATCAGGAACTGTTGTTCATTTTTGATATACCGTCTGATCCTAGACATTTTTCCCAATATTCTCCCCAGCAATATGTGAAAAAACATGTCCCATTAAGTAATTAAGTCTATTAACTGTTTGAATATTGAAAATAGTTAGGAGCTTGGCAATTATTCACATTATCTAAACATAGCTTCACGTTATTATATGCATTTTAGAGATATAGCTCACATCCGGTATAATATAGAAACGTTTACTTAATTTCTTTCTAACTATAGATGAATATGTAGCTGCATAATTCTGTCACCAAAAGATTATTGACATTATACACTGATTATAAAAGTCCAGGCCATAGTTGTTGCGGATATCCTAGGAGAAGTTGAGCGCTGAGTCTGATTTAATCATTACACGAGTAAGCTTTAATATAATTCCAGCATTTTCAGAAGACCAAAACAAGATTTTTCTTAACGTTTCATTGCGCATGCCACAGTCCTTTGCAGAATATTGTGAAAAATGAAAATATATACGGTCAAACGGTACATTTTGCAATGTCTGTTGGTTGACTGATTTGTTGTTCAGACTGATTATTCCTAACTAGTCAGTATAATTTCATGCAGTCCTTGTCATTTATCATCAAAAACAATTCAACAGTCAAAGTGTTGGTATGTAAGTGTGTACATGTTATGGAAAATGTGTGTCGTTCGTTGGTTATTGCATGAAAATATAAAAAAACATGTTTATTCATG